TCTTGATCTTGATCTTGATCATAGTATATAACTGACGCTGTTATGCAAAGAGAAGTCCTAATGCTATGATAACATGGAAAATGAAAAGAAAACATTTCAAAATTTAAAATCCTAGCAAATTCAGAAATTCTTTTATTATTAAAGAGGTTTCTACTAGTTCATTTTAAAAAAAAACTTTTAATTGAAAAATAAAACCTTTAGGACGCAAATCATAAACTTTACTTTTTCGTAAATACGCCAAATCAAAGTTTAAATTGTTTGAATTGGTTGAGTTTCATATGCTACGTATTAGACAAACTAAATGGAAGAAAAAGTTGAATGAGGTTTTTATAAAAATAGTTCTTGAGAATATAAAGAACATATAGATAACGCTTTTAAATAAAATTTTAAGTAAAATATATTTCTGGCTATAGAATTAAAGAATATAAAGTATCCGCTAGACATAAACTAACAGTTGAAAAGATTTTATTTGATAAAAGAACTTAAAGAAGATAAGAAAATGGTTTGTGGCAATGGTTGTATACTGAAGGTAGGGAATATAGGGTTTGTGAAATTGTGTACATCTTTTCCCTTTTCACAAATAAATTGTCAAATACATTGGATGGCAAAGTAAAATTTATACATTCTCTTTACAAGTTTTATATGTCCGACAAAATTATTAATAATTGTGAAAATAAATATTACAGTGCAATTTTGTGTTCTTTATACTCGGTTTTTACACTTTTTTATTTAATATGTGTAATACGATATTCTGTAAATTTGCAGTACGTTGTCCTGTTTGAGACATTGATCAATTGATTACTAGTGTCCGTATGTCACCAATAGCTAACGAGATCTGCCCAGTGGTAGTGGCATTGATTGTAGCCATTTGGATCGTCTTCTGTTTGATATTCATAGCCTGAGTAATAGCTAGATTGATAAGCTACCCTTGTGTCCCTGTGTGGCATTTACCAGACATGTGTGTTGTATCCGGGTTCACTTTGATGGGTGGTACCTGGACTGATACAGTTTGGTACGAACTTTTAAGAGAACGGCATTTACTACATTTCTTGTTATATTTGACACGTGTGACGTAACTTATAATAAAACCAAACAAGTATCCAAGGTATCCAATTCAATATAAAACCAAACAATTATCCAAGGTTTCCAAGTCAATATAAAACTAAAGAAGTATCCAAGGTATCCAAGTCAAAGTAAAACTAAAGAAGTATCCGAGGTATCCAAGTCAAAGTAAAACTAAAGAAGTATCCAAGGTTTCCAAGTCAATATAAAACTAAAGAAGTATCCAAGGTATCCAAGTCAAAGTAAAACTAAATAAGTATCCAAGGTATCCAAGTCAAAGTAAAACTAAAGAAGTATCCAAGGTTTCCAAGTAAATATAAAACTAAAGAAGTATCCAAGGTATCCAAGTCAATATAAAACTAAAGAAGTATCCAAGGTATCCAAGTTAATATAAAACTAAAGAAGTATCCAAGGTATCCAATTCAATTTAAAACCAAACAATTATCCAAGGTATCCAAGTCAATATAAAACTAAAGAAGTATTCAAGATATCCAACAAATGTAAGAAATAAGAAGAAGAAGAAGTAAGAATATGTTTTTGTGTTCTCCTAAACTAATTGTCCTCTATCAGTGGAAATGAGGTTTAGGATTAGCAGCTGTAAACTCTTCAGCTCATCTTACACAGGAGACAAAGGAAAATAAATTCAAGATGGCTGACCTGACCTACATATGCCATGTTAAATGGATTTAGCAGGGAGGGATCCTGCTCTTTAAAAAGACTGGGTGGGGTCAAACTTCCAATAAAACTGTGATTCAGTGGGACTGTTAAGGAATTAGAATTAAACGTAATTATTTTAAGTGTTTAAAATAAAAAATTACTCATAAAATATGTAAAATTATTGCTTTAGAATTTTACTTAAAAAATTTTCACTCAGCCATCTCAGACAAGAAAAATATAAATATATTATAGAAGGTATAAGATAGCAAGGCAATAAGGTCGCTCTAGAATTTCTCAGTTTAGAAAAAAACCACATACTATGGTACGATGGTTTCATTTATGTAACTAAAAACTAAAATGTGCCTCATTGTTAACATCATAATAAACATATCTAATCATATTCTTTTACCTACAGGGAGGGGTAGTTTAATCTTTAAATCTATCGGATTGATGAAAAGTAAAACTATTATGATTTATCAAGAATTACAAAATGACTGTAACCCTCTAGGAGAACACACACACCGGGACACTTAAGATATTTTCCTGGGGTGAAGAGAAATAATTGAGTTATCCTTGGCAAAAAATATCGACCCCTTGGAATTTGTACAGAGAATTGCAGGGAATTTTTTTAAAATCTATTCATTCTTGGAAAGCAAAATTAAAGACTACAACCCCCCATACCCCCCTTCCTACACAAAACATAAATAGTATTTACACATTTTAAAAATTAAAAAATCCTTTCTTGAGAATAGGCTGATTTGACCAAAAAAACCAGTTTTGCATCTGCTGGAAAACAAGTTACAGTAAACATTAGGTTAGTCTCCTGAAAAGGGGGGGGGTCAAAAGATACTCTTGACTCCCCCCTTTTTGCAAAGGGGGGGGGGTCATCGACCCCTTGACCCCTCCCCCCTGGATCCGCGCCTGGGACTTAATTTCAAGTGATCATCCATTCACAGAGTAACAAGGTACTCTTGAAACCTTTACCAGAGCAAAAAAGTTATTTTTCCCTCTGAAGATTAATCATTTTCAATTGCGAATTTTCTATAATAGTGACTTGTGCATTTTTACTGGAAAAGCAAGGAATGAAAATTAAAAATTTATTTCAATTTTGTTTCTTTGATAAAGTTTTAAATAGATATTTTCATATATAGTTTTAGATATTTTCATATATATTTATATTTTAATATATATATTTATATATTTATCGCATTAAGCCTATACCCCCTTTACTATTTCCATCTATTGCTTCTTTGATCTTCCATGCTTCACAAACATGCCCTGGCTGTCGATTCCTTTATCTATCTATCTAATTATCTTTCATTATATTTTGTTGTATAACTGCGTATCTATCTATCTATCTAATTATCTNTACTCAGGCTCTAAATGCCACACAGGGACACAAGCATAGCTTTCTATCAACAAGCTGTTACTCAGGCTCTAAATGCCACACAGGGACACAAGCATAGCTTTCTACCAAACAAGCTATTACTAAGGCTCTAAATTCCACACAGGGACACAAGCGTAGCTTTCTATCAAACAAGCTATTGGCTATCGAACAAGCCCTTAATCGATTCTTACTCTTTCTGTGTTAGATCTCATCCTGAACACTCAACTCAACACTCAAGATTGAAATCAAATCAGAATTCTGATTCTATTTGAGGTTTACATTTTACAAGTTAAAGTTAATAGACATTATTACGATTCCTACGTCTTTATACTTATCACTTGATTAAGGCAATCATGTTACGTATTACAGCACATTTGAAATAGGAGCAGTTAAATGTGCGTATTTAGCGAGGATAGATATAACGTAGTTAAGCTATCTCCACACATGTTTATAAGTTGAATGTACGCATCTAAAAGGATTTAAGCTAATCATGCTACTCATTCATTTGAAACGCAGTTCAAATTAATAATGTTTTTTTACGTAGAAGTTTACAAACATAGATAATTAATAATGTACATTGTACAATTTACTGCAAGTTTTCAGAATATCGACATGTGACCTGATATTTATTCAGGGAGTAAGGAATAGAAGGGAGATACAACTGACGCGGTTCGCCCTACCATATGATTTTAAATGCTTTGCAGACGGTACTCCATTTGTATAAGAAATATTCAGAATAGGTTATTGTATACGCAGTAAATGTACATCAGACAAATATTTCTTATACAAATGAAGTACCGTCTGCAAAGCATGTATAATCATATGGTAGGGCGAACCGCGTCAGTTATATCTCCCTTCTATTCCTTACTCCCTGTATTTATTACAGCATAATGTGTGCTGTTTCTTTAATCCTTATTTTACATTGAGCTACCAAATATATTCATATCAAAAATCAGTGAGCCCAACTTTTGCGTTTTTTCCTCGATTGAATGAAATGAATGAAATGAATGAAATGAATGAAATGAATGAAATGAATGAAATGAATGAAATGAATGAAATGAATGAAATGAATGAAATGAATGAAATGAATGAAATGAATGAAATGAATGAAATGAATGAAATGAATAAAAGGAATAAAATGATTAAAATGAATGAAATGAATGTTACATAAAAAGAATTCTGTTGAAGTTTCCATTTTCCTTTCACCATCGAGAACCGATAAAATCTTTCTAATTCTATTCTCAACTCTTTATATGTACTCAGGGTACTGCATCCATTCCCCTTCACCCCCCCCCCCAAACACTCCATTTGGGCTGATTCCCTCCGTTTAAAGGGACAAGGTTGACATACTTTTCAGTTACTCTCATATTCAAAGCATTACATCTCCGATTCTAAACCAATATACCTAAAAACGTTTATCGAAATGTCATTGTTTTTTTCATTTTAAAACAGATAACTAACTTTCCTTTAATTGCGATAGCTCTTTAGAAGATATTTATGCATCAGAAAAAGGAAAGAAAATCGAACATCCTCTTCATTTTTGAGATTCCATTCATATTTTTTTTTTGTCTGGGTGTCTGTTTGTCTGTTTGCGTCCAATAAACGTCAAAACGACTGAACCGATTGAGCCCAATTAAGTTTTGTGTGGGACCTCACATTTAAAAAAATTCCCTACAAAAAACTTTAATTTTTGTAAAATTTGGAAAATCCCCGGGAAAAAATCTGGGAATTCTTTTGCATTTGTTATAAAATGTGCAAAGAAAAAATGCACACAACAATTAAAAATTGAAATACAAGATGGGCGCTAAGCATAGTTTCAAAGATTAGACGTCATTTTTACAAAGTCAACGAAATCTAATAAATTTCCTTGTAAATTGATTTTGATTTATACAGATTTCATACAGAGGGGTTTTATTAATATTAAATCATACAAAAATACAAATTACAGATAGTAAAAATATGCAAAAAGGTGATTTTCTTTACATATTCAAGGGCCTTAATTGTAGTTATAAATTACTTAAAGAGCCTGCACCCTGCGTTGCGGCCGATGTTCCCAATGGCCACATATACGTCAAGGGAGCCCATGGATGTATTAACAGAAGAATCAAACTTCCGACACACAAACTATCCACAGTCTTTAGAAAGGTTAAAATTGAAAACAATTAGTGGATATCTTGGAGCAGATATGGTCTAGTCTAATACTAATCCAGCATGAACCACTGTGCCTGTCCTGTTCTAATTCTTTCAATCATTGCCCAGTCTAGTCCAGCATGAACCACTGTGCTTGTCCTGTTCTAATTCTTTCAATCATTGCCCAGTCTAGTCCAGCATGAACCACTGTGCTTGTCCTGTTCTAATTTTTTCAATCATTACCCAGTCTATCTTGACACCAATATCAAAGTAGGCCCCCTCCTTATATTTCTAAACCAACCAGTATTTCCAACAATTGTCAAATCAATAAATAAATTTTGTTTTTAACTTAAAAATGAAAAAATAAAGGGGTTTGGTTTTGTTCACATTCTACTGGGACGTAATAGGAAAAGTCCAAGACTAGTTTTATTACATATCCAAAATAAAGAACTGTAAAAAAATAATCAAATTTTGCATAATATACAGGGTTAGCCACAAAGGATGAGACTTCAGAGACGATTGTACGGAATTTGTTTAGTCCCTTTTCTTGCATTCAGGGTTCCTGCCAGAACTGCCTTATTTCTGTGCTTAATCATCTAGTAAACCATCAAAATACTCAATTAAATGCTGAAACCAAAAATAAAGCTTGAAATCGTCATATTTTTAGAGTTCTGGGTCGTCTTTACAGTCTCATCCTTTGAGGGTAACCCTGTATAGTATTTTGTTTGTTTACAATTACGACAAAACTTGTTCTAGAAGTAATCTTATGCGCCACGTTAAAATATCAAGAACCCATACATCCCTTGCTTCTTAGTTCTGCATTTTCAACGGGCCGGGTCGAGACAATATTACTGGAGGGGTAGGAGGATTTGGCTCCGCAAACTGAATGTTCATTTTCAGGGTTGGGGTGGCGGGTGGGTAATGGGAACTATGAAATGGGGTAATCGGAAAAATGAAAATTATCGCCCCCTCCCCTTTACACAACCCTTTATCCGTTCTAATTTTGAAAAATTAGGATATGTTTTTCTTCAGGTTTTCATTATAGTTTAACTGTTTTAGAAAATTTGTTAAAAGTATTATTTATAAATCTTGTTTATTTAGAAAACACTGGTTTCCTTGCTCTGCCCGCTGTGGGCGTTCCCACAATGCTCTGGCAGGGGACCACACCCATTCATGTGAAGAATCTATTCAAAAATAAAATATAAAATAATCTGAAAATAATTAAAAATGACGAATTATACAGTGATAACCAGAAAACTCTGGACGTCAACTTTTAGACCCAAGTTATAACTTGAACAGTCCAATGAACTTGAGGCACAGCAATTGTTCAGTGTTAACAGTTGATAGTAAACATATTTGCTTTATAACAACATTAAATACTGCTATAATGTCGTCTTCCCATTCAATTATTTTCTGGTTCTCACTGTTAATAATGTAAAAATGATTAAACGTGATGAATTACAAATCCTGGAAAAGTTGGACCGATTTTATCTGACAGCATCAAGCAAAATATTGCTACAGAAAAATTAATGATTCTGTGAAACTGAAATTAGATATTTTAAAATTTAGCTTAAAATTTTTAATTGGATTAAGTTCTTTCTAAAAAATTTTCTCTTCTTCTGTACTTTTGGCCGCAGAATTATGAAACATTTTACATTTTTTGCCAGAAAAAAAAAATAGTTTTTTAAGCCCAAAACATTTCAATACAATATTAATTATTTCTTATTATACGTCATACTATATTAAAAAGTTTTATCAATTACATTACATTAATCTTTTATTTTATGTACAACCAGTTGGATTCACATTGTTTATGATTTTTGAAATACTTTGATTACTCTCGAACAGACGTGTGTACTGTTCAAAATGCTATCTATCTGGTATACACACTGAGTTATAAAAAAATTCAAACCCGATATGATCCATGAGACCCAGGCGGACACACGGTTAAGTGGCTGGAGCTCGACCCTGGAGATCGGCATGATTCTTTGACTGTAGATTGATAGATAATAATAATAATACTGTATCACAATAATTTACCTTTAAATTATGATAAGAATCACAGTAATGATAATCATCAAATACTTCTATTAGATCTGTAGACATGTACTAAACAACAATAGATCTGTAGACATGTACTAAACAACAATACTTCTATTAGATCTGTAGACATGTACTAAACAACAATGCTTCTATTAAATCTGTAGACATGTACTAAACAACAATACTTCTATTAGATCTGTATACATGTACTAAACAACAATTCTTCTATTATATCTGTAGACATGTACTAAACAACAATTCTTCTATTAGATCTGTAGAGATGTACTAAACAACAATACTTCTATTATATCTGTAGACATGTACTAAACAACAATACTTCTATTAGATCTGTAGACATGTACTAAACAACAATACTTCTATTAGATCTATAAACATGTACTAAACAACAATACTTCTATTAGATCTGTAGACATGAACTAAACAACAATACTTCTATTAGATCTATAAACATGTCCTAAACAACAATACTTCTATTAGATCTGTAGACATGTACTAAACAACAATACTTCTATTAGATCTGTAGACATGAACTAAACAACAATTTTTCTATTAGATCTGTAGACATGAACTAAACAACAATACTTCTATTAGATCTGTAGACATGTACTAAACAACAATTCTTCTAAGTAAGTTGTTTTGTTTGATGAGCAAAAAAGAATGTGCACAAATGTGAATTAGTTTATAAAAAATTTTAAATCAAAAATAAATAAAAATATTAAAAGATGAGTAGCAAGAAAAATGTAATTAAAATTGAATGAAAGAACGAATGTTAAAAACAGAAAGAAAAGAAGAATAAGAAGTAATAAGGAAAATGTAATTAAAATTGAATGAAAGAACAAATGTTAAAAACAGAAAGAAAGGAAGAATGAGATGTGATAAGGAAAATGTAATTAAAATTGAATGAAAGAACAAATGTAAAAAACAGAAAGAAAAGAAGAATGAGAAGTAATAAGGAAAATGTGATAAAAATTTGAATGAAAGAACAAATGTTAAAAGCAGCAAGAAAAGAAGAATGAGAAGTAATAAGGAAAATGTAATAAAAAATTGAATGAAAGAACAAATGTTAAAATCAGAAAGAAAAGAAGAATGAGAAGTAATAAGGAAGACAGAGTAAGAATACAAAAGAAAAGGAATACGATTTAATTAGTTTAAAAATGGGAAAAGAATAAGAGAAACGTAAATTAAAACAACGAATGAGATAAGAAAGAAAAAATCTTAAGAAAGGAAGGATGAATAAATGGATAGGTGAATAAAAGGATGAATGTGAATGAGTCCGGGATGAGTAAGAAAGAGAAGGAAGGATGAATGAAGAATGAACGAATAAAAAAACCTGGATAGATGTTTGAGCGTTGAATGTACATGGAAGAATGTGGATGAGTCCTGGATGACTAAATCCAAGGTTTGTCATCCAATCTTGCTCTGCCAAAGTAGCTCTAAATTAAAAACAATTTAAAAAATTTAATTTTTCGCAATTATCGTAGTCGATTGTACATGTTTTATAAATTATCGTGGTCGATTGTACATGTTTTATAAATTATCGTAGTCGATTGTACATGTTTTATAAATTATCGTGGTCGATTGTACATGTTTTATAAATGATCGTGGTCAATTGTACATGGTTTATAAATGATCGTAGTCGATTGTACATGTTTCATAGATTATCGTGATCGATTGTACATGGTTTATAAATGATCGTGGTCGATTGTACATGGTTTATACATTATCGTGGTCGATTGTACATGTTTTATAAATCCATCGTTTGCTCGTAGTTAAAGCATAAAGGAATTAAGTTTCCCCCACAAACTCTAATATTTTAATACCTCTATCTTTGCAACCTAATGGCGTAGAAGTTTGAAATATCAAAGGTTTGCACCGCCAGGTTGTAAAGATGAAGGGAATGGAATATTCAAGTTTGTGGCAAAGACTCAAATCCTTTAAGTAAATCGATTTATTCACAGCGGTTTCCTTGAAACTTTTATCTGATCAATAATGTTTAAGATATTGTCGTTTTTCTAGCCTTAAAAGTGTTTCGTTTTAATCATTTCTATATGTTTTCATGCAGTAGAAATGCGCCAGGTCACTTTAATATCTAATTAATACTTGACCAAACAACGCTTTTCAAGGTACCGTTGTGAATCGGGCATTGTCATTTTTGCAGGATGGGTCCCTTTAATTCATAATTATGTTTACAGTCCCATTAATACAAAGATATAACCTGTAAAGATATTTTTCAAGCAATGCTTCAGCTTCTTCTGGTTCCAGATACCTAAACAGATGATTGAGTGATTGAATGAGTCAACAAATATTTTCCATAACTTCCAACCCTTTGTTTCAGCATAAATTGCATATATTAAAACTGCAAACTGCAGATATATTTAGAAATAAGCATTGCTTGTGAGAAAAACGAACGAAAATAAAAAAACGAAATATTTAAACTCGTTTGAATGAACTTAAAAAACGATCGTTGTTTTTACTGAACGAACAAATTTTCGAAAGATTTTGAAAAAACGATTATTTTTTAATGAACGAACGATTTTTTCGAACGAAGTTAAAAAACCACATTTTTTTACCCTCCAACCTCCCTCCCACTCCCCCTCCCAACCTACTAGTCAAAATAGGGTCATAGCTACAGAGCGTCCCATATCGTATTGGATTATCTCCCAGCTTTAATGTCAAAATACGCACAGAATACTCGAAAAACCTGGTATCTCTCATATTAGCCATTTAAATGTTTTTTAAATTATTTATTTTTTGAAACTTCTGATTAGTCCCTTAAACCTCAATTAGAGATATAAACGATCTACTATGAAGTGGGACACCTAGTAGTTAGGTTAGAGATATAAACGATCTACTATGAAGCGGGACACCTGGTAGTTAGGTTAGAGATATAAACGATCTACTATAAAGTGGGACACCTAGTAGTTAGGTTAGAGATATAAACGATCTACTATAAAGTGGGACACCTAGTAGTTAGGTTAGAGATATAAACGATCTACTATGAAGTGGGACACCTGTTAGTTAGGTTAGAGATATAAACGATCTACAATGAAGTGGGACACCTAGTAGTTAGGTTAGAGATATAAACGATCTACTATGAAGTGGGACATCTGGTAGATAGGTTGGAGATATAAACGATCTACTATGAAGTGGGACACCTGGTAGTTAGGTTAGAGATATAAACGATCTACTATGAAGTGGGACACCTAGTATTTAGGCTAGAGATATAAACGATCTACTATGAAGTGGGACACCTAGTATTTAGGCTAGAGATATAAGCGATCTACTATGAAGTGGGACACCTAGTATTTAGGCTAGAGATATAACGATCTACTATGAAGTGGGATACCTGGTAGTTAGGTTAGAGATATAAACGATCTACTATGAAGTGGGACACCTGGTAGTTAGGTTAGAGATATAAACGATCTACTATGAAGTGGGACACCTGGTAGTTAGGTTAGAAATATGAACGATCTACTATGAAGTAGGACACCTGGTATGTTAGGTTAGAGATATAAACGATCTACTATGAAGTGGAACACCTAGTAGTTAGGTTAGAGATATAAACGATCTAGTATGAAGTGGGACACCTAGTAGTTAGATTAGAGATATAAACGATCTACTATGAAGTGGGACACCTAGAGTTAGGTTAGAGATATAAACGGTCTACTATGAAGTGGAACACCTAGTAGTTAGATTAGAGATATAAACGATCTAGTATGAAGTGGGACACCTGGTGGTTACTTACCGGTTATAGATCTCACTCCGTCTCATTCTGTCCAGGTCGTAGAGAACTACCCCGCTATTAAATCCCTGAAATTATTTTTGCTGTTTATCTATAAATATTCTTTGCTTGCCTGTCTGTTTGTATCCAATAAATGTCAAAACGGCTGAACCTATCATTATCTAAAAGGCTGAGTTTAAAAGTTTCTGATCTTTGTAAAATTTTAAAAATGCGCATGAAAATATGATTAAAAATATGATTAAAAATATGATAAAAATATGATTAAAAATATGATTAAAAATATGATAAAAATATGATTAAATCCCGGTATTTTTGTTGCTATTGATTTATACTGTACAAAGAGAAGTTGCTCGCAGATAAAGCCACAATTAAAAGTTCAAATAAAAGATGGGCGCGAAGCGCCCTAAAAGCCTGGTTGCATAAATATTTTGTTACGACGAAGGATTTACGGTAACTGTTCTGTTATGAATCTTGAAATGAAGGTTCACTTATAATTACGTAAATAGTCTCTTTAACTACCTGAAACCTGCCTGGTAGTCCCTTTAACTACCTGAAACCTACCTGGTAGTCCCTTCAACTACCTGAAACCTTACTGGTAGTCCCTTTAACTACCTGAAACCTGCCTGGTAGTCCCTTCAACTACCTGAAACCTTCCTGGTAGTCCCTTTAACTACCTGAAACCTTCCTGGTAGTCCCTTTAACTACCTGAAACCTTCCTGGTAGTCCCTTTAACTACCTGACACCTGCCTGGTAGTCCCTTCAACTACCTGAAACCTTCCTGGTAGTCCCTTTAACTACCTGAAACCTTCCTGGTAGTCCCTTCAACTACCTGAAACCTGCCTGGTAGTCCCTTCAACTACCTGAAACCTACCTGGTAGTCCCTTTAACTACCTGAAACCTTCCTGGTAGTCCCTTCAACTACCTGAAACCTTCCTGGTAGTCCCTTTAACTACCTGAAACCTACCTGGTAGTCCCTTTAACTACCTGACACCTGCCTGGTAGTCCCTTCAACTACCTGAAACCTTCCTGGTAGTCCCTTTAACTACCTGAAACCTGTCTGGTAGTCCCATTAACTACCTGAAACCTGCCTGGTAGTCCGAACAATGTATCTGGGTTCTCTGCCCTATACCTCCAAAGCATCACTCTGAGATAAAAAAAAAGTTTTTAAAAAAAATATCACATCATTTCTTTGCTGGCAAACAAAAAAATTGTTCTTTTAGGATTCATTTTGTTTGTTTTGATGCTGTAATTTTCAGAGTGCTATTTTTTCTATAAGCAGCAAATACCCACCTAGATAAGATAAAATAAGATAAAGTTTAATGCTAGAATACATGTATCTGTATACAGAACGAGTTTACAATCACAAAATTGATGATTATATTAACAGTACAAGTATAAAGCAATTAGGTTGAAAATAGCTCTTGGCTGTTTTGATTATTTTTTCCACGTAATTTCAATAATGATAACAAAACAATTCAATTAAATAGATTTAAGGAGAACTATTAGAGATTAGGGTGCGATTTTATCTTATGCAAAATAGTTTATACATTGATTAGAATAACTAGAGTTTAAAGTAATTTTCTGACATGTAAACAACAAATATCAAAGCATATTAAAACATATCTAGTTAGTTTTACATGAATAGCAATTCGGTTTATTACACATTGTAATGTAATTTTCAAAAAGAGAATTTAGAAGTCTATTTTTAAATATACTTAGAGAGTTGTTTCTTTTTAAGTCAAGAGGCAGGTTATTCCACATCTTAAGAAAAGAGCTTGATGGTAAATACTGTAATGAGCAAATTTTGAGAATGTCAAGTTGAACTTTCAAAGTTTCCAAGCTTTTTAAAAATGTTTTCAAAAGATGCAGGAAGAAGTTTATGTGTATGTTTATACATAAATATAGCTTGGTTAAAGTCTACCAGATCATTAATCTTTAGAATCTTATACTTAAGGAAAAGAGGATCATTATGAGACGTGGCTTTTGAGTTATCAGTTAATCGTATTGTTCGTTTCTGTAAAATTGAATTTGATTCATTTCTGAACATTTGTTACATCCCCAGGCTGAAATTCCAATTCCATATTCTGTATATGATCGAAATAAAGAGTTGTAAATGGTTAGCTTAATATTACTAGGAAGAATATTTTTTACACTTGACAAAGCAAAAACTGCACTGGATGCTTTGTTTTTAACCGCCTTAAGATGATGGTCCCAGTTAAGATTATTATACGTTACATAATATGTTTTACTAAATTAAAATTTACTTCGGATTAAATTCAATTCTAGGATTTCTAGGTTCTTCTGAAAAGCGCTGTACAAGAAAAGTTAAGAAATCCTTTCATGCACTCTCGGCCTAAACCCAAAACTGTGCAAATAGTAATATATATATATTGTTTTGTAGCCCTGGACAAGTACATTTTAGAACTTTAAAACACTTGTTTTAAGTTTAAGTTTTATAGAAGTAATTGACACACAAGTGAAATTTATGGTGAAAAAATTCTCATCATTTTATTGGGGTTTGATCTTGAAACTTTTGCATTACTGTGAGTGTATCTTACTTGTAGTGTAAACTAAGATCTAATCCAATTCCCATCACATGATTACCAGCCTCCATAGGAGCAAACTCAGCATTTAGATCAGAGATATCAGTTCGGAAATCTACATTATCAATGTTATCATTATAATTATTATTATCATTATTATTATTATTATTATTATTATTATTATTATTATTATTATTATTATCATCATCATTATCATTATTATTACAGTCCAGGACTATAAGTTTGTGTAATGATGTGAAGGCTAGATGGTAGAGAGGTGCAATATAGAAGAAATCCTGATCATACTTATCAGACCCAGCTGATCAAACAAGCTTTATAAGATCATATTTATCCGATTCAGAAACATTTGTTAAGCTGATTAATGAAAATTTAAGTCATTATATTCACGGGCATGTCGTAGTACATTTGAATTTCCGAGCCGGGTCAACTTTTCCGGCCCAGTTTGTACTGTATCGCCCGGTCATTGGGTAAATGAAGCAGACACTCAATAGGACTAGCCGGTGCAACAAGGTTGACACGGTCAGACTTTAGGTTGAATTTACTTTTATTGAAGGATCAGAGGTGCATGTACTTATCAGACCCATCTGATCAAAAAGTTTTATCAGATCATATTTATCAGATTCAGGCCTTTAACTGACCATTCTTAGATCAGTTTAACTGATAAAAAAACGTTAAATGAACATTCTTATCAGTTTAACTGATTGAAGAAAATTTAAATGATAATGATTATTACATTGGCTGATAAAACAAACAAGTGTTATCAGATCATATCAATTAGTCCAATAATTAAAATTCTTTTTAAATATACATATAGTTTTCATTTATAGAATGAGTTGATATCTGTAAATACAAACTAAGAGTATATCGGAAAAAGATAATTTCTATCATATTTAGGCTTTATCTGATTACCTAATCTTTATCAGATCACTTTGATCTGTTCAACTGATAAATCTAGCTGTAGCTAATTGCTGGGGCACAAAGCGTCTCAAATTCTATTTAAATGTAAATATAAGATTGGAGTTGAAAATCCGGAAATAAGAAAACTAAGATGATACCGGAAAAAGCTTGTTTCCTGTTCCGTTTAGGTTCCTAAAAAATTGAAATTATATCTATCCATCATTTTTAGATTTTCATAAATGAAGACGACAAATCACTGCCATGCTTTTTAACAGATAGATAAATCACCATAAAAATAGTTTTTTTTTAAATGAAAAAGTTTATATGAATGAACAAAGTTTTTACCTGAATTTATGAACAAACTCTGGTTTCTTAGATTTAATATGTAAATAATCCACTGGAACAAATAATAACAATAACAACAATAACAATAATAATTATATAACAAATAATAACAATAACAACAATAATAATAATAATAATATAAAAAATAAAAATGATAATATTCCTCTAGAACATTCCAAAAATAATTATTTGTGTCTAAGCATAAATATACTTCCTCTTGAAATGCTCAATTTTTTTAATAAAGATATAAAATTTTTCTTTTCTTAGAAAAATATGTTATTTTAAGATTTATTTATTTGTTTCCTAGGGAAAAATGTAGAGGTGGCATGCCGATTTTCTTCTGATAAATGTTCTAAACATTATAATTGTTAAAAAAATAATGTTTTAAATGTTTATAATGAAGATGTTTGCTCAAATAAACAAAAAGTAGAGAAAGTGAAATACACGAACTTTGAATGATTTTTCGATCATTTGACAAAATTATCCCCAGCTGCAGATCTATACCCTTACCGAAAAAGTTTCCCTTACCAGTAAAGGTTTTCCTTGCTCAAAATAAGTTTCNCTCCTTGGAATGAGACGAACCTGTATAACATCCATAGTTAACTTTTTCCCAACTGCTCCAGCAATCAAATCTCCAACAGCTTTAGAGCTGTAGGCATCAGTTACTGAACATCAGATAATTTTTATCATCATTATCAGTATTATCATTATCATCATAACACTATTATCATCATCATCGTTATCATTATCATCATTATCTGTATCATCATTATCATCATTATCAGTATTATCATCATCATCGTTATCATTATCATCATTATCATTATCATCATTATCATTATCATTATCATTATTATTTACTTTATAACCATTCACGCTAGCATTATTATTATTAATTCTGTATTAAGATTAAAATATAAGTAAAGCAAATTTATTACATATTAGAAATTAATAATAGACATTATTTTTTTTCTTAATAGGTCTTTTATCAGGTAGGTTATGATTGAAAAGGTGCAAGATTTTATTTTAAATTTAACTTGGCGTTTATACTTACTGAATATAAAATGAAGAGGGGTTTCTGTGTTTGCATGTTTCAAAATACTTTCAAACTCAGTCCGGGTCAATCGAGCAAAGTTTTCTTCTAAATATTCAGAAAATATATGATTTGAGGAACCAAATTGCGGTAGCGTATACTCTGCGTACATATTGTAACCAGTTCTTTTTGGGCGGAATTTGTAAACAAGAATAGATGCATCAGTGTTCGTTTAGTATCCGAAGAGGTTAAAAGCATTTTTATAATTTTGATAATTCACACAAAAGTTTACTATGACCAAAATATTTCATAGATTTTTTTTGAGGAAATGGATTCCATGCATAGGCTGTTACATCCGTGTTGAGTTTACTTTTCCGCCCAAAAACAGTACACAGCAGTACAAAAAATGCGCACACCTCTGAAAAAAACTTTCCTTGCATTAGAACCTTGAGTTGAACTATGTATGTAAGTGTTTGTAAAAATGCCTTCTTTTTGAGCGAAAATTTTATGTTTTTTTAAAAAGAAAATGGTATTGAAGGTTTTAAAAGCTAGTTTTTGTACATTTTCTTTACATTTTTCAGATTATTAAATGCCTTTTTTTCAAAATTAGAAAATGTAAATACTTTCAAACTAGAGGGTTTTGCAGTAGTGAGATTTGAAATTCCAAAATGAGAATATAAAATTTCAACTTTTATTTTCAAACTGTGGTATTGGCGGTAGTGAGATTTCAAATTTCAAAATGAGAATATAAAATTTCAACTTTTATTTTCAAACTCTGGTATTGGCAGTAGTGAGATTTCAAAATCCAAAATGAGAATAAATTTTATATTCTCATTTTGGATTTTGAAATCTCACTACCATACCACAGTTTGAAAATATAAGTTAAAAATTTTTATTCTCATTTTGGATTTGCAAATCTCACTTTTTATTTTTTTCATGAATCTCACTACCTTAGAACTTGACACTATATACTTTTATTTTATAAAACTGGGGCATTTTATACCTACAGTGTATGTAAAGGATTATGCATGCGTCAGTCCAAGATCAAACAAAATGGTTCAACTTAGTCAACGTTGTTCAACGACTTCTTGCTGATCATTTAATTTGATCCCTGTGTTTATTTCAGATTTCAGAAAATAATTTCATCCTAATTATTTATAATAAAAAAGATATATGTGGCTTGTCTGTTTGTTTGTTTGTATACAATAAACGCCAGCAAGGCCCACATTTTTATGGGACTAATTACATGACCTCAGCAAAGTATGATGGCCGGTCAGGATTATAGTATGTTCCATATCAGTGACGACTTGAAGAGAAACATTTAAGAAGTAAAAGATTTAGTACGGTCCAAACTGAACAATTGTACACACATTTTTGATTAAATCTTGGAAATAAAAATTGTTCCTCCAAATCCAAAACTGTTAAAAATGTCTGAAATTCTGTTGTTCCATAAATCGAAACACATGAAAAATGTTTAAGAACCTTTAAAAACCAATTCTCAAAAATGTATTAACTACAGTATATAATCTAAATAAACAAAATGCTAAAAATCTAAGTCTAAGTCCAAATGTATGAGAATGAAAAAATCCTACCAAATCCCTGATTTTTTCTCGAGTTGACTAAAACCATTCCGATGTTTATGGCAGATGGCACAGGACTAAAAAGAAAAGAATTTAAAAAAGATTTTGCTTAAACTTTTGAATTTGTTAAAAAACGACAATTTAAAAAGCAAGTTATTAATGAAGTGTTAATTTTTTTTCTTAAAATTAAAGTTAAAGTTCAATTATTTAAACTTACCTTTTTACGGGGAATTAAACTTATATATGAACAAAAATCATTGAAAAAATAAAACTATGCATTTCAGTAGAAATACCGTGATTTTAGATAATAAAAAAACATCCATGAGTTTGAAAATTATAAAAAAATGAAGAGGAATGTTGTTAACCCGGCTATGACTGGTTAAACTACTAGTTCAGCCTAAAAATGTTGTTGAATTTCGAGAATGTTCAGACAGATCCCTAAACAGGCACATTTCTTTTTAACAAAGTTCGGATTTTAAAAGCTCTAAACATAAAACTAATTAATAATAAGACATGGGAAGATTTGATGCGTTGTTAATCAGATTGTTAAAAATAGCCATACTGTTTGTTTTAAAAAAGAATTAAGTCTTAGTCGCAAATTCAAATTTTAAATCCCAACATCTTTGCAACTTGGTTCAACTAGCCATACCTAGTTTATCTACTAGCTTCTGGCAATTTAATCAGAAATTTCCGATTTAAAATTGGGTTTCTTTCACAAAAAACCAGCAAATTTGGTGAAATAATTTGATTAGCTATACAGCTAACATAAATATATATATAAGGGAAGAGCTTTGGGATTGTGCATTAATACCTGACTACATTCTCTGGAAGGGTCAGCTCACCAGAGAACAGTTTCTTCAGTTTATTAATATATTCAAGCTCATCAACAGATGGATTAGGGACAGTTTTTAGGGCTAGGGGTTCTTTAGATTTATCATGTGAAATGCCTTCACGATTCAAATCTGATAAGGGCTCACTGGCAAAATTTGAAGATTTCTCTGATGCTTCTGCAATAGTGAAATCTGAAGATTTAGTAGATGTTTCTTGTATTAAAGCTGGAGATTTCACTGAAGATTTAGTAGATGTTTCTTGTATTAAAGCTGGAGATTTCACTGAAGATTTAGTAGATGTTTCTTGTATTAAATCTGGAGATTTCACTGAATGCTCTTGAATTACAGCTGAATATTTTTCCGGGTTCTGAGAGTAGAAATCTACATTTTCGTCTGGGAACTTATTTCCCATTTCTAAATATTTGCTCTTGCTTTCAATCTCAGAATCTTCATTGGTGCATCCCGTAACACTAAACACGACAAGATGATTACCAAATAACTTTATTAGCATTTAAAGGGACTGTGAACGTAATTTTAGTTGACTCTCAAGCCTGATTCACAACGGCACCCTTTAAACTTTTGCGTGAGCTAGAATGATGGATATATCCTAGTTTTTATTAAACTACATACAACCGTGATCTGAGGATTAATAAAGCAGAGAAAGAAAAGAAAACTGGAAGAGGATGGAAACATGATGATATCCTCCTCATTGTTACCCCGATACCTTTTTAAAGGGGTTTACCGATGTGAATCAAACTCTTGAAATGGAGAGTTACTCTAAATTACGTAGACAGAACCTTTAAAATTCAATTGAAATATTTATAATCATGTTCTTCCTGTTGTTAGAGTCACATTGTTGACTGTGTCCCAATTTGATAAAGAAGAGGGATACAAGGAACAGTGGGACACAGATTCTCAGCATCTTTATCATCTTCCTCATCATCGTTTAGTTCTTTATCATCATTATAATCATAGTTTTGTTCCTTATCATCTTTATCATCATTTAGTTCTTTATCATCTTAATCACCAAAGGTCAGATTTCTTCATCATTCTAATTCAAATCTTTGTCATGATATTTAATGATAGTTACGATTTTTATCATCTTTCTCGTCGCAGTTTAGCTATTCATCTTCTTTATCATTTAATCATTATTCTTTTAACATTTTTCTGAAAATATTTCTTTCGTAATTTTGTCACAACTTAGATATTTAACATTTCTGATAATCAAAATTTATATGATGTCATGCTTTTAATTTGTCACTTTTTCTTGAAACAGTTTTCTTATATTTTCTCCCATATCAGAATAAAAGGTACTGAAGACGTGGTTTAGTTGATCCTCCAGTTTTAAACGACGCGACACGTATACTGTCCCCTTTAAACCTTTCTCTTATATCAAGAAAGAATGAGATATTCTTCTATAGCAGACATTTATTATTTTTTAATTGTGATTGTGTGTGTAAAAGCAGAGGTAAGAGTGTTACAGAGATCGATTAACACCTATCTATAAGATGCGATATTTTCCACAGCATGTTCTATTGTGTACAAGTACTGTACACGAACAATCAGGAGACATCTGTATTCTGTATTCAGGGATACTTATGGATCCTTTGAATAGGAAATGCAAAATCTTTATAAATAGACAATATTCATAAACGTTATGTTTTATGTTTAAAATTGGAGTATTTCTTTATAAGTTGTAAAACCCTGAATGCAACAAGTGGCCGTGAGATGTCAGGTAGAGTGTATGAGCAGTCTGAGTAGTAAGTGAATTGCGAATTTATGTTGCGGAAACTAAAAAGGAAATTTTCCAAATTCAACAATCTTCATCATTACTACTCAATTAGAAGCTGCAGGGGTAAAATTATAAAATTGAAATAACGTAAACAGAATAAAATTTCTAACTTTACTCAACAAGTTTAATTCTAATTCAATTATTTCGAGTTTATTTCTTTTTGCCTTGAAAATATGAATTTGAAACTATTTAATTTAAAACTATTTAATTGAAATTCCATATACCAAATGTAATCTCTGAGAGAGGGAGGGGGGAAGGGGGGGAGATAAGATGGACAGGGGGTGGGGACTGGGGAAGGGTGGGGGGAGATAAAATAAAATTTTTTTGAATTGTTCATCTTCAAAAATCTAAATTTTAAGTGTTAGGGTTCATTCGATTATTTTTTTGGGTTTGAATGAAAAATGTAATGTTACGATTAGACCGGAAATACTAGTGATATCGTTGGCTAAAGTTTCGCGAAGCATAAAGGTTAAGATTTAAGAGGGTAAATAGGGTAAATAGAGTAAATAGAGTAAATGGGATAAATAAAGGTAAATAGTCATATTTTGAAGGAAATCATAGGGAACAGGGTAGATTTTAAAGACCCTAGAAGTTTCAGGGGGGAGGCAGAGTAAATGGGGGAGGGGAATTAGAGAGAGGGGGTTACAGAGAGGGGGGCGAGTGAGTGGGATTAGAGAGAGGGGGGAGGGAATGGAATTAGAGCGACGGGGAGGGAGGGGGATTAGATAGAAGGATGGAGGGGAATTGGAAACCGTATATAATCTAAGCTATAGGGACTGCCTTACTGCCCAACTGACAGAAATGGGTAATGAATGATCTGCAATAAATACTAATTAATATATAGATTAGCCAACACAATTATGGTTTGAACATTAATATGTATTAAGCCGGAGAAAACAGACGGAAGACTGGAGACTATAACGCCAGGTTTCCAATAGTTCAGGTAGTAATGAGGATTCTGCACTGTCATACTTAACTCTCACTTTAACACAAATATACAAATATACACAGACTTGTACTTTAAGATTAACAATTCGTAACAAATATAGTGTAGAAAGGGGGGGGGTTGAAGTGGAGAGTTTTATGCGCAAAATCTTTAATTCAATTTAAGGAAAGAAAATTTCGTAAAAATTGCTTTTAATTACAATAAAAAAATAAGTGTGTATTGTAAATTATCAAAACTAACCTTTGAGAAAGAAAATCAATGCCAACGCTATACATGTGGTATCGATGCCCAAATTTATTTTATTCTTCTGATATCCTATTATCAATAACAACAATGGAAAAGAATTTGTTGTCAAACTAATACGTTTTTTTGTGACATTCAACATGATAAATTTTGAATTTGTACAGATTAGTTCTCCTATATCCTGCTCTGGTCTACGGATCACGTTTGTCGTTGAAATTTCAACGGTGCACTTGAATGCTTTATTTATTAACCAACGTGGAAGATATCGTCTTCTCTCACTCATTCTGAAAGGGAAAATGAACGCAAGTGATTTTTTGTAAAGAAACCTCTTATAGAGAAAATATAAGCATATATAAAACCAATCCGATCTTGATCAGACACAACTTTTAAGGGTATTGTTGTAAATTGGACATGTCCCTTCTTAACATAGGATCCGCTTGAATTACGACCACAGTTCTGTACCACCTCCCCCCTCTTTTCCTCCTTCCCCTAGAATAATAGAAAAATAGAAAGAAATTTATTTCATACAGTAAAATAGCAGAATAAAACGAGATGAATGCTGTCTTCGTTCAATCTTTTAAAATTTTTAACTGTTAACTCTAAAAATGAGTACTAAACAGTCAACGACAAATGTTAAAAATTAGAAAAGCTTTTGTGATTTTTAACTGAAAGATTTAAATAAGAATATTTCCATTCCGATTTATTTTGCAAATAACTATACAAGATTTTTTTGCAAATAACTATACAAGATTTTTTTGCAAATTAAGCGCAATTTAAATTTGCAGTTTTTACACTGTCAAGTGCTCATGAATGAAGAAAATAGAGTAACAAGAGTAGAATATAATACAAATTTGATCGTGTATTCACTACCATTAGATAAACTAGAAGTCTAATAGTCCTAAATTATATTTTCAAACTTAGATCCCGAACAAGAACATAATTAGGTTGGAATAAAGTTATAATCTCTGTTTGTAAGTCCGATTATAACTCATAAACCCCTTTACCGATTTACCTCAAATTTTGATCGGGAAAATTGAAAGAACCATGGTAATGTTTTGTTTTAAGATTCTAAGTTGAGTAGGTCCAACATCGTAATTTTAAACCAAGTGCAGGTAAACGGCGGGAGTAACTATGAGTTCCCTGGGCAACGCTGGGTTCCCAAGCTAGTTTATAAATAAAGTAGTAATCTTTGTTTGTTTGATTGTATGTCTGAACATAACATGGGAACCCCAAGACTGATTCCATCAAATTTTGAATAAGGGACTCGGTAGAACAACAGAAATTTCAGACAAAGTGAACTCTGTGGAAAAAACATCCCAAAACTATTTTTTTAAACAATAGTCAGCAAATATATGTTTCAACAAAATGTGTGTTTTCCTGATAAAAATCAGAAATTTAGTTTTAATTTCAAATGTGATGGTAAGGAAAATCCAGGATTTGAAATGATGAGTAGTTTCATTACATCTCGTTAAAACTATTTCAAGTATTTTATTTAATTCCAAATGAAAAATTATCTCTAGCTTTATATTTTGTTTGAAGTCGGATAAACGTAAAAGCTAATTTAGAATTAGGAAGAATTCTAAATTATAAATTACTAGGATTGTCAACATTTTTCAGGAGAGTTCTACATCTACAGTTACATGAACGATTAACATCGTGATATCTTTGTTTTTGATCTAAAATTAGGGCATGTTCCTATGCCTGAGTTTTTTTAATTTTTAATTTTGTTATTTCGTCATTGCGACTGTGTACCTGAGAAATAAAGAAAATAATGAGATTTTTGTTTAAAAAAAACGACAATACCTTCCTCATTTTTTCTCAGTTAAAGATTGAAAAGTATAGTTGTGAATCTGACTATAAGTCATTCTATAAATTGTAGGTCACAATTCACAATGTTTACATGTAAAAACTATGTTAGCTAGTAGATGTGTGTCTTTCTATAAGACTATTGAAGGAAGTTCTAAGCTTTGCATTAGATTTCTTTCTAAGGAATTGAGTCTTTGCCACAGACTAGAATTTTGTAATGCAAATATCTTTGCAACCTGAAGATTTAAACCTTTGATATTTCAAACTTAGATCATTTAATCTAACCAAATCAATAGTTTGAAATATCTAAGGTCTACGACATTGGGTTGTTAAGATATAGCGATTAGATTATCAGAGTTTGTGGCAAAGACTCAACTCCTTTATTTAAAAATGACCTTCTGATCTTAGTAAAATGTTAGTTAAGAAACAAATGAAATATTTTGATGTCCCATTGGACTATGCATGGAAAGTCCCGGTTTTACAAGAACTTTTAAATACCAGAACGAATAATTTATATGTTGAAGGATTCGATGATTACGTAATAACTGAAATAATAAATATTTTATGTAATGAGTAATGATCAATGTCGTCTATTTGTGCATTAATTTTGCATATTTTTCTCTTTTCTTTTGAAAACCTGTATTTTCAAAAATTTATTTAAACAAATTTAAACTGCACCATTTATATATGTATTTATATCTTTGTGTGTGAATAAATCTTTATAATAATTGGAATAGTGTAGAGATCACAAACTAAGAATCCACAAGAGATGGAAGGATAAAATCCGGGAAGGATGAAAAGAGAATCCAGGAGCCAGTCTGATTAGAACCAGGAAGAAGAGAAGACCTTCAAGCTTAATTCTCAACATATTTATAGAATTTATAATATATTTATATCCTAAGAATATCAGTAAATATATAATCTTCACAATAGCCACATTAAACCAATAACTATGAGTTTCTGGCACTTTTGTAGAGGTATAAAAAAATGGCTGCGATTTACCTCATAGCAACGCAATTAGTGATAACGAGTTCTCAGTTGATAATTTTGTTTTGAAACATTTCTGGAACTCTTTAAGTAAAGAGCCCCTTTACACTAATAGGTCCTTTAAGTTGCAAATAATAAAACAAACAAAATTTTCATCTAAAAATTCGATTTCATTTTCGAGAAAATGTTTTTTTTTTAAACATTGTTAATTCAGTTGATCATTTAATCTCTAAACATTTTTCAGTTTTTTAATATCCAACATTTTCCTAATTTATTTAATTAATATATGAAACAGTATAAAATTAAAATTAAATAATTGGAAAAATACGATAACTTTAAAATTATCTAAATTATATATATAATTTGAAATTATTGAAATTATTTCATAG